GCAATGCACGGGCAGCGCAGCAGCGTGCGGGTTGCGGGCGCAGCGTGCAGGCAGGGCTCGCGGCGAGCGCAGGCAGTGCGAGCAGGGCAGCGTGCGGGTCGCGCGCTGGGCAGCAAGGAGGCAGCGCGCAACGCAGGGTTGAGCGCGTGCGTCAGCGCAGGCAGGGCAGCGTGAGGGATGCTGTTCAGGGCAGGGCAGGAACGAACGGGTAGGTCGAAGCTAGCGGTGGGCCCTAACGGAGCGATCCTACGGAGGGACCTGCTTTGAAACCATGTTAGAAAGTAATACGCAGGAATGATAGGACTATGCAGTAGGGCAATACAAATAGGGTTGACCTAAAGTGTTGTACCCTTCAGAGTATGCCCCACTACAGCATAAAGACATGGAAAATGCAATTTGACACGCATTAATTCCATTGTATCGTCTGTTCATTTAGTCACAAGCCTCGTTATTCGTTTTCCGCGCAACTCTGTTTGACAACTCATAACATGTTATATGAAATGAGTGTAACCTCTCAGATTTTGTTGTAAGTGATGCGATATTGATTCTGAAAATGTGTACATATAGCAGGTACGACAACCAGCATCATGACTCTGGTTATAATTTGGAAAATGGCAGCCCAAAACAGGTGTTCACCAAGATCTGCTAATTTGGTTATATATATATACATATTTTACGATGGGATTGACAAGGTAATTCCTTTCATTCACTATACAAAACTGTGTGAGCACCAACATGTAGGAATTGATTTCACTCAATTTTGCAAGATGGATATCCCATAAGGAATTTCACTATACTTTGAAAATTGCCTCGATGTGAAACCCTAGCTGAAGCCGAATCTTTCTCTATAGCTGGAGGGTACCCACTGGGCTACAACGAAATGAGCGCCAACTTGATTGGCCAGCATCTTTTTCCCGAAACGCCAAGTGCGTGGATTACCACTTCGCCACAGTCGCCCGCCCTCGAAGGTAGCCTGCGAGTGTCTGATGGAAGCTTCGAGGTTACCCCATGAGGGTGACCTGGGGGTCCCCACACCCTCAAAGCGATTACTGCCTGAGATTTTTCGGATGCTTTGGGTCCTGTCGCTCCTTGCCCTAAGATCTCGCAAACGGCCATGGCGGTCTTGAAGTCATTGAAAGTCATTGTAAGTTATGGCCATGCCCATTTATCAGTCAGCAAATAGTTCTTTATCACTTGTGTGTGCTCAATATGAGTCAGCATAGCACACACACCCAGCTGAGCAGCAACAACTCTTTTGCGCCTCGTACAGCACGGCACGAACGTGCCATGGCTTTCAACAAGTTGTCATGGTCAGCTTGTTCGTGCTGTGCTGTACGAGGCGCAAAAGAGTTTGGCCCAATCACGTACGATAGGTGCGCTGCCACCAAGGATTGGGTGGACAAGGGATGTGAAGTTAGTTTTCTGTTCCAAGGTTAAAAAAATTGAGACCCGGCGGAAAAATCCAGACCCTTAGAAATCCGGGCTGAATTTTCAGTCAGGATGGCGAAGCTCGCCCTGAAATTTCAGAGCACAAAAAAGCCGCATTGTCCAATCCTCAGAAAATCCGCCGGGGTCGTTCAAGCTCCTTTCACCTCCCATTGTCGTCCCGCGCCAGCCGCTCCTTTTCTCACTACATAAATCCCCTCTTTCCGTCGTTCACCATGTCTCGCCATTCCACACGAGCTTCCCACCTCTCTTCCCCTCACGTATCGCTGCACTTTGCGTCGCTTCGAACCATCTCGCATCGGGACCACCGCAGCAGCACGACGCGGTTAAGCGTCGACACTACTACGCAGAGCGGACCACATCACGTGACTTTTGAGACGCCTCAAAAAGCGTCGGCGTCACGATAGTGCGGGCGGCTCACGCGATCACCACGCTGCACCGCAGCCTCGCTTCCCTTCGCCCCGTCTCGCGTCGCTATGGCACGCGCCGGCCAGCGTTCCGCCGCCCTTCAAGTTGGCGTCGCCGCGGTCCTCGTTGGCCTCGTCGCGCTCATCCCAGAAACTAGCGCCGGCGTCTACGACACGTTTGTAAAATTCCAGGGAACGGGCACTGCTTCCGGTCGCTTTATTTTCAACGACAGTCCGTGCACGAATGTCGCGTGGCTGTACTCGACTGCGCCCCCGATCAACGCGAGCATCCAGTGGGGCATCCAGGACGTCCCGCAGCTGAACCTCAAGTGCATCAGCATCGCCTTCCATCCGATTGCGGACTGCAAGAGGGATCCCTACGTGACGTACCAGCGCCCTCTGCCCATCACCAGCAGCTCCTTCACCAACTGGTGAGCTCGCATTATCTCAAACATGGGGAGGGGCGTATCTCAACAGTCTCCTCCACGTGTCTCACTTGTGATCCTTTTCTGTGCTCCCGTGCCACCCTCCCTGCTGCTGGTCGCAGGACGATCACGACAGCCAAGGGCTTGCCAGGGTCAATCAAGTGCTGGACGGGTAAGGGTGCACCACTGAACTCGCCCGCACTCACTTGCAACCTGTCACACGCACGCTAGCCCGTTCATGTGTCAACGCCCGTTTGACCGCACAGCACTGTGCTTCACAGCTGTGACATCCCAGAGCTTTGTCGCATGGTGCGGTGCGGTGTAGTGCGGTATGTGGTGGTGTGAGACATCGCTGTTGTTTTGCTCTTGCAAAAGTCTAGTGGCTGCTCAATTACATGCACAGTCGCCATCCTGACTCACTTATTGCTTGCCGTGAGCCCATTCTTACAGTGAGCCCATGATTCCTGCGAGCGAAACACACGCCTGGTTGCATCATTCTTCTCCCTCCTCCTTCCCACGTTGTCCCGCCTCCCTGCCACCACAAACGCCCCATGCGTGTCCTACAGGCTGCGAGCAGTGTGGGACAGCCACGTGCACCTTGGTGGACGGCAACAAGACGTGTGTGTGACCCGCTCCTCAAGTCTTGGGCACCAATGCGAAGCAGTGCCGTGGTGAGTGGCGCTTCATCATCAGTGGGTACGAGTGCACCATGAGGGAGTACACTTGAAAAAAGAGTGCCCGACACGCGAGCCTCCTAGAGTGTACATGCTGTGTGCCCTGGCTGGTGGGCTCAAGTCTCGAATGGCAGCATTACTTGCCCCTCCCTAACCACCGCTCGCCTCTCGGTTCCCTTTGACTTTCCTTGAGGGTGCCTCCCTTTGAGTGAGCGACGCCTCTCATGTGCTCTGATCCGGTACATCCCGCTTGACAAGCTTGTGTCCGTCCCTCGTGCCGCTGCAATAAGGTGTCTAGATGAAGGACGACCCTCGTCCTTCGCACGCTGTTCCTTCCCTGCTCCTCACTCTGTGCCGAGCCTCTTGCTTTGATCCCTTGACCTTCTCGCCCTGTTCCTTCTCACCCTCGTCCTTTGCACCCTGCAGAAATGAGTGGCTTACCATCCTATACTTCCCGTATAGGATGAGTGGCTTACCATCCTATACTTCCCGTATAGGATGAGTGGCTTACCATCCTATACTTCCACAATCACATGCTATGCCTCTCGTGTGTGTTTCCATTCTATGCCTCCACTCTCTCCTTTCAGATGCAGTGGCATGAGGAGCACCAGTCAAGGGGATGATGGATTAAGCGTGCATAGCAGCACTTCCCTTAAGCGTGCATAGCAGCACTTCCCTTAAGCGTGCATAGCAGCACTTCCCTTAAGCGTGCATAGCAGCACTTCCCTTAAGCGTGCATAGCAGCACTTCCCTTAAGCGTGCATAGCAGCACTTCCCTTAAGCGTGCATAGCAGCACTTCCCTTAAGCGTGCATAGCAGCACTTCCCTTAAGCGTGCATAGCAGCACTTCCCTTATGCCCACCATGCTCAGCATCAAGCCTTCTGTCGCTGCTGCTTTTTCCAGAGACCAATGAGTGCACCCTCCAAAAAGTGATTATTGCAAATAACAGCAGTTATCTTTAATGAGTTGAACTTATTATAATGCTGCAGTGTTTGTAACTTTTGATCAGGCTCAAATGTACCGCGGTGTGTGCTACTATTGTGCAACATGGAGTGGAATATAGCAGGCAAAAAGGCAGTTTTTGATGATGTCCCACTTAACCTTGTGAGACCCCAGGAAAGTTGCAATCAATTGCTATGCGCATGTAGGCATGGCCAGCGCCCACCAGTGTTATGTTGTGAGAGAGCACCATGGCAAGCGTGATGCTGTATGTGGCGTGGCGCTTGCAGTTGATTGAGGTTGGGTGCCCTTCTTGCTGTGCCCCTTGCTGCCTCCCGCTTGTTAGTGTGTGCTGGTGTGGCGCTTGCAGTTGATTGAGGTTGGGTGCCCTTCTTGCTGTGCCCCTTGCTGCCTCCCGCTTGTTAGTGTGTGCTGCTGCACTGGTATGGCGACGCCAGCTTGCTCACCATGGCTAGCTACTCCTTGGATGCACTGGCAGGTAGTGCCAGGGACGCCACAAACTGCTGTTACTCCGCCCGCTCCTCGTGTGTCTAGCCCCTTGCTGATCCCCTTTTGTCTACATGGGCTGCGTTCTTGTCGCGAGGCTGCTGCTTGGCCGGCTACTCCCACACGAGCTACTCCCACACGAGCTACTCCCACACGAGCTACTCCCACACGAGCTACTCCCACACGAGCTACTCCCACACGAGCTACTCCCACACGAGCTACTCCCACACGAGCTACTCCCACACGAGCTACTCCCACACAAGCTACTCCCACACGAGCTACTCCCACACGAGCTACTCCCACACGAGCTACTCTCCCACACGAGCTACTCTCCCACACGAGCTACTCCCACACGAGCTACTCTCACACGAGCTACTCCCACACGAGCTACTCCCACACGAGCTACTCCCACACGAGCTACTCCCACACGAGCTACTCCCACACGAGCTACTCCCACACGAGCTACTCCCACACGAGCTACTCTCCCACACGAGCTACTCCCACACGAGCTACTCCCACACGAGCTACTCCCACACGAGCTACTCTCCCACACGAGCTACTCCCACACGAGCTACTCCCACACGAGCTACTCCGAGGTGAGTTACTTCGTGGGTGCACTGGCAGGTGGCGCCAGCGACGCCACAAACTGCTGCAGCTCCGCCCGCTCCTCTCCTGTGAGGGCCCTGGCTGACCCCCCCTTGCTCTTGTGGCGCGGCCACAGCTTGGTCACAGGGTCAGGCGAACAGCCTGCAGTGAGCGTTGGTGGCAGGTTAGAGGGAGGAGAGCAGCCAACGAGAAAGTTGGGGGGGGAGGGGTGGGGTTGGAGGAGGACGTGGGAGGAGGGATGGAAATATAATGAGACTTTGAAGTGGGGACGATGGCATGTGCTAAGGTGACGCATGAAGGTCACAGCTTGCTTGCTGCTTCGCCAGCCTGCGGCGCAAGGCAGAGAGAAGGCCCGAAGGCCTCACCTGTGGGAACTGACTTTAGAGGCACCTTGAACATCAGCATGTGGCACAACACAGGGAGAGGGCCAAAAGGTCGAACCTGTGGGGACTGGCAGCTGAGCAAGGGCTCTTGACACAACACGCACGTCCACTGCCCTCCCACCAGCCCCCTCTCTCCCTTCAAGTGTTTGAATCGCCTCAAGCCCAGACCCTTCCGCCGCCCCTGCTGCCGCCCCCTCCACGGTTTGTAGGCCCAGGAGCGCAGCGAGGTGGGAGAGGCAGAGCAGCTCCGAGGGGCTGCCGGGCGGCACGATGGAGGCCAAGGGGATGACGGCAGCAGCATGCTGCTTCCAGCGATAGTGGTCACGCAGGTAAGATTGCATGTGCGCCTTGATGCGCCTGCATGCAGGGAGGCAGAGGAAGCAAGGTCGGTAGAGAGAAGTGGGAAGTTCTGTCAAAGATAGGAAAGAAAAATAAATATTTTGCCGATGATGGTCATGCAGGCAGGATTGCAGGCGGGCCTCGATGCACCTAAAGGCAGGCATGCAGAGGGTGGGAAGGTTAAAGTAATGAAAAGCTGGTTGAAAAACGAGAAGGGAGATTGCGGTGGGACGGGTGGCCCTGATGCGACTGCGGGAGTGCATGGGAGGAAAAGTAGGGTGGGGAAGAGGGGGGAATGGCAGAGACGAGTGTGCTTGGGAGTGAGGGTCGCACTGCTGGTGTGGTCGAGTAGATGAAGGGGGTTGCACACATGAGGCGCGATGCAGCAGCGAGAGGAGAGGAGAGACGAAAGATTCCAAAAGAGATTTGAGTGAAGGTGATGACTGATGAGGAGCCACCGGCATTGATGTGCAAGAGTGTTGGGACACGGATAGTGCGTGTGGCCGGGCGGGGCGTTGATGACGAGGGCGAAGGGCATGCGCGTGAAGGAGAGATGGGCCGCAGGGAGATGCGGGGGGCAGGGAGAGGAGTGGAGGTGGTGAGGAGGATATCAGGGCAAGGCGGCCACAGAGATTGGTGCAATGCAAGCAAGGAGCTCACACATGAGGCAGAAACGAGGACGTGGAAAGGTGGACGGCCAGACGGCATGCTGTGATCCCTCCCTTACTCACGGCATGCTGTGTGGTAACCAGCCGACGCGGAGGTAGGAGTCAGCGACGCCACACGTGTCCCTCTCAGTCAGCAGCACCACCCCACTCCACTCGCCCACCTCCCACCCCTCCGCCCACTCGTGTGTCTTCACCACCACGTTCACTCCTCCCCACCCCTCTCCATCCATCCCCACTCCCTCCCCATCCCCTCTTTTTCCGAATCCCTCCGCGGACCCTCTTCTTTCTCCCCCCATCCCCCCATGACCTCCGCCCTTGCCCCCAGGATCAGGCCTGCCAAGAGGCGAGAGCCCCCTGGCGCGCAGCTTGCTGGCGGAGATGGAGTGCAGCCAATAGGTGAGCGCCAGCTGGCCCGAGAGGGCGAGCAGTAGGCGGACGGCGTTGAAGAGCCACGTGGAGCCTGCAGTCGGGCAGGGAAGAGAGGGGAAGGGAGGTTGGTTGAAGGGAGAGAAATGGGAGGAGGGGTTGGGTGGAAGGGGGGAAATGGGAGGAGGGGTTGATTTGGTTGGGAGCAACTGACGCAACGAGGTCAAATTCAGGGCTTGGAGACTCAAGCGAGCAGTGCGTGGAGCATTGCGGATATTGCGGGGCATGAGGGCGCGGAGTTAAATGGAAGGAGGATGAAGGACGCATAAGGTCGGATATAGGGCTCAATTACTCGGCGAAAGAAGCGATTTTTGAGCCGACTCAAGGGCAGAGCACGGAGTAAGGGCTACTATGTGGGTGCGATGAGTGGGTGGTGGCAGGCGCACCCGACCTCTCTGGTCCCGCGCACACGATCAACCGAGGTCTTCCCCCCCACGCACTGCCGCCACTGCTCTGTACCCCATGCGCCATGTGTCGGCTCGCCAGCGCGTCTCGCCAGGTGGGGTCCACGTGGAGCAGCTCGCACTCGCCGTCGCCGCAACCACTGCCGGCCGGACAGATTGTGCGACGCGCCCACGATGGCAAGAGTTCGATCAGGGGTTCGCCTTCTAGCGTGGATTCTATATCCGCGTATGAATGGGGCCCGCGCGGCTCGGCCGCCATGGCGACTACGGCTGAGCGCGATGAGGCTGAGGGTGGCGCCACGAGCAGCCTGGCGACAGACGGCGTCACGAGCGGCTTGAGCGGTCGGAGCAAAGATTTGCGCGGCAGCGCGGCGAGAGATGAGATGTGGACGCGAAGCGACGCTGCTACGGCAGGCATGGCTGGCAGTCGCGAATAGCTGAAATCGGCTTGATGGTCATGCGCAACCTAGGGGGGCTTGTTCGCTTCACCGTTTTCAACCGTTAATTACCAGCCTGAACATTGATTATGAGCTGCGACGAAAGGGAGACAGACAGGTCCACATTTGTATCTTATTGCCCCGTTAGTAAAGTCATCGCTCGTTCTCTACACTGCATTCATCAAAATTCAAAAGATAAACTCCAGTTACTGGTTCTTCGCGCAAAAAATATCTCTGCAACGGAAAGTTCCGCGATGAGCCAAAGTCTATGCGACGAGTGCGATTAGTCACCAGCGCAATCCCACCAATGCGCTCCTTGTAAAAACCGTGGCCTTGCAGCTGCCGCGCAGCGGGCCGCAGGAACGGCAGAAACAACGCGGAGAGAGGCAGCGCGAAGAGAGTGAACGCGGCATGCGCGGTTGCCAACTGCTCCATGGTCGGCTTCACCGCTGCCTGCTCCCCTGTCGGCTGCTGCCCTGCTGGTGCCATCTTCGCCTGCTTCACCCAAATCGGCTGCACCTTCTTGACCTGCTCCACCCCTATCAACGTCAACTTCACTCTCACGTCGACTTGCTGCTTGTCACGTCGGCCACCGACAATGCTCTTGGCCGGCGACAAAGGCGATGCCCCACGTCTCCCCTCATCGCCGGAGGCCGACACCAGAGTCAGCCCGCGCAGGTCAGTCACGAGGGGAGGGGTAGGGGTCACAGGGGGAGGGGAAGGAGGACGGATGACCTCGGCGCCCTCACCAGCAAGCTCACCGACCTCGGCGAGCAAAGGCAGCATCGCCGTCGAGGTGTCAGTCGGCGGGGTGGTCGTCCGTCCCGACACCAGCCCGTGCTCCGACTTCCACACTTCGAGCGACATGTCCTCGTAGAACACCACGTCCGACGTGGTGACCAGCCGGTTGTCGGCAATGTCGAGGAGCTACCAGCCCTTTCTCTCCTCTAACACACCGAGATGAAGGCCCCACCTGGCCTTCGGCTTCAGCTTCCCACCACGCTACTGCTCGGGGACCAGGAATTGCCATGACGCCCAACACGCGTGCCAACGACAAGTCGGGCTTTTTCCTAGTCAGCAGCTGGTACGGCATCGTCCCCGATGGCAGTGTCGACCTCTCCAGGCAGTTGCGGACATAGACAGCTTGCCGCAGAGCAAGGTGCCACCAGTGGTGCTGCACACCCATGTATAGCAACATCGTCCGCACGGACTCCACCACCGTCCTCATCTCCCGCTCCGCCAGGCCGTTCTACTGTGGGGTGTAAGGGCAGGTAAGGTCGTGGACGATCCCCTTGCCATCCACGAAGTCGGTGAATGCCCGGCCAAGGAACTCTCCTCTCCGGTCAGAGCGTAGCATCAGCACAAACTTCTTCGCCAGCCGCTCCACCAACACTAGCCACTTCTGGAACTCCAGCAGCACGTCCAAATTTTGGCGACCGGCCGCACCCACACGTAGCGGGTCTTGCGGTCCTTCAGCAACATGAAGTACAGGCTGCCATCCTTAGCAGCTACGCGGAATGGCCTGCACAGGTCGATGTGCACTACGGCCTGCACGTCGTCGGCGTCGGAGCCCTGGTCGGGGAAGGTGTGACGCGCAAGCTTCCCGCCGACACACGAGACACGCGGTGAGCCGGCTCCCGACGCCGATGTGAGGTCCAGCCCAGTGGCGACCTTGTGCTCTGCCGAGCTCCGAATGGTGTCCATGCCGACGTGCGCAAGCCCCGCATGCAACCTGTCCGGCGTCGCCTTCGTCGCTGAGACAATCGCTCGCAGGGCTACAACCTCCGTCGTGGGCGACGTCATCCTCGTTGAGCAGGGACGCAGGTCGTTGCAAAGGACCCACCCAGTGTAGGACGCCCGACAGAGGACGTCTCTCGCTGCCGAGAGGAGCAACATCCCGTCGCCGTCCTCCTGCAGCTTCACGCCGGCCTGCCGAAAGCAGGTTCGCCCGCACGCCCGGGACGTAGAATATGTAATTGATGAGCCTGCTTCCCGGCCTCCTCTTGCAAAGCGACAGTGCCGCGGCCCTGGACGTCCTGCAATGGCCCATTGAAGCCGCACACGTGCTTGACGTCGCCGCTCGGCTGCAGGTCGATGAAGACCTCCTTCGTCCCCATCAGATGGTGCGAGCAGCCGCTGTTGAGCAGGACCACCGACGGGTTCGCATGCACAGCCGCCCCCACCGCCTGGAAGTCCTCGCTGGCCTCTGGCGCCAGCGAGATGGTCGGTTCCACCACGCCAACCAGCGAGCACGGCGCCTCCTTGTCGTCTCGCCCTTTGCCGCAAGCAGAGGAGTCGGCGTCCGTTGGGGAAAGGGGTGAGCTGTGATGCGGCCAGGACCGGGTCCTATGCATACCGGCTCAGGATGTATTGGCAGAATGTGGTCCCGGCCATGAAACTGCAGGAAGAGATGAATGGGGTGCAGCGAGCAACGGAACGAAAGGTGCAGGACATCATGGCACCAGTGTGTCGCAAGAGCTACCACAGGCACTATCCTTGCAACCAAATTGGGCAGGAGAGACGAGCCCTGCCTACCCTGGTGGCGTAGGCGGGAGCGGCAGGGTACAAGTGGGAAGCAGGGCAGCCGGGGCCGGGCATGGTGTATGATCATAGGAGACGGAAATGGGAGGAACCTACGGCACTAGAGCGGGAGCTGGCTATGGGGTATAGGGAAGATGCAACAGCAGCCCCAGGGGTGAGCGAGGCAGACGGAAGGAGGGCTTTGGGGAATGCAATGGATGGCTACGCCCTGAGGTGGCTGATCCAGCGGATGTGGCGAGAGACGGTCGTAAGCTGGGGGCACGAGGAAGGGGAGGGAGAGGTAGAGGCAGTGCCCCGGGGAGCGTGGAGCTGCAAGGAGAAGGAGGAGGAAAAATGGGTGGAGGGAGAGGCGATGAGCAAGGAGGGGAAAGAGGCCATGCAGGAGCTGTTGGCCAGGCACAGGAAGTGCTTCGCCTTCACCATGCAAGAACTAGGGAGATGCAAGGTGAAAGAGATGGAGCTGAAGTCGAGCAGCACGGAACCAGTGTTTCACCGCCAAAGAAAGATGTCACACGGAGATGAGGAAATCTGCAAAGAAAAGATTAAGGAGCTGCTGGAAGTGGGACTAATTAGGGGGTCAGAATCAGAATATGCTACGCCCACGGTGGTAGCTGCCAGGCCGGACCAAACAGGGGAGGTGTTGAGTAGGAGGATGTGTGGGGACTACAGGGCACTCAACAAGATCACCATAGCGGACAGGTACCGGATGCCCATGGCGGAAGAGATATTTGACAATCTAGCAGAGGGAGTGTTCTTCACGACGCTGGACCTGCGACAAGGGTTTAACCAGATCAAGATACGAGAGGAGGACATCAAGAAGACGGCCTTTCATGGGCCGGACGGGCTTTATGAGTGGCTGTACATGCCGTTTGGGCTAAGGAACGCCTCAGCCGTGTTCCAGAGGGTCATGGACAGCGTGCTGCGGGGAGTGGAATGCGCGGCCTGCTATATCGATGATGTGGTGATCTTCAGCACAATCGAGCAGCAGTACCTGCAGGATGTGGAAAGGACACTGGCAGCAATAGAGGCGGCGGGACTCACCTGCCACCCAAAGAAATGCAGATCGGGGGAACAGATAGTGCAATACCTGGGTTACGAGGTGAAAGGGGGCCAGATAGGGATACAATAGGCCAAGGTAGAGGTCCTGGATAGGCTGAGGGAGCCTAAGGACAGGTCAGGACTGAGAGCGGTGCTGGGATTCTTGAGCTACTATAGGCGGTTTGTGCTGAATTTCAGCAAGAGAGCGGCGGTCCTAAATGGGCTACTGCGGGAAGACAAGGCGTGGGAATGGGGAGAAGCACAGAAGGGGGCACTGCAGGACTTAATGACCGCAGTAAAGACAGCAACGGTGCTTAAGTTGCCTACCGCTGATCACCCGTTCACACTCTACACCGACTGGAGCAGCCAAGGGATGGGAGGGATACTCTGCCAGGAGGTGAAGGGAGAGGAGAAGGTGGTGGCATATGCGAGTAGGAGCTGTAACTCAGCAGAGGCACAGTACATCTCCTACATAGGGGAAGGATTGGCAGCTGTATGGGCTGTGGGGCACTTCAGGGTGTACCTGCAGGGGAGAGAGTTCACCTTGGTGACGGATCACCAGCCCCTGACGTGGCTGATGACAACACCGGGGTTGACGGGCAGGAATGCACGGTGGGCCATGAAGCTGCAGGAGTATGACTTCAAAATCAAGCACAGGCCGGGAAAGACATTGCAGCATGTGGACGGTCTCTCCTGGAACCCCCCACTGCAGGAGCCCACCGTGACCCTAACACTGCTGGCCAGGCTAGTGGAGATGAATGGGGCCAAGGGACAGAAGGGGCCAGCAGATATTTGGGAGGATGGACCAGCCATGCGGTGGGTGAAAGGAGAGACAGGAGAGGACGAGGAGCTGACAGCGTGGGTGAGGGCACGGGGACAGCACTACAAGTGGCATCAGCCGCAGTTGCAGGTGCAGACAGAGGACGGATGGAAGCTAGTAGCAGCGCCAAGCGAGAGGGAAGCAGTGATCAAGGAGGTACACACAAAGCTGGGACACATTGGGCACGAGAGAATGGTGCAGCTGTTGAAAATAGGATGGTGTTGGGAAGGGATGCGGAAGCAAGTAAAGGGGTGGGTGGAAGGCTATGAGACATGCCAGAGGAGCAGGGCAAACCTCACACAAGCCAAGGCTGAGTTGCAGTCTCTTCCCATCCGAGGCCTAGGGTTCAAATGGTCCTGGGATCTGGCGGGGGAGCTGCCGCTAAGCAGGGGGGGAAAGCAGTATATTGTGCTTATGGTGGAGCACGTGAGCAAGTGGCTGGAGGTGAGGACTATTCGGAGCAAGAGCTCTAGGCACGTGGCAGCAGCGTTCAAGGAGCAGGTGATATGCAGGTTCGGGGCATGTGCCGAGGTCCTCACAGATTAGGGAACCGAGTTCCAAGGGGAGTTCAAGAAGCTGCTG